CGGTAGTCAATGACAGGTAAGATCCAATTACAATGGTACCAACCTAAGACAGGAGGCTGATGCCTTGAGGTCATCTCATCCAATGACGAGTAAGGACCATATGTAGTATTGGACAACCTAAGACAGGCACTGTCCCTAAGCCACATGCTTGGTGTTTAATTAAACAGAAGGGGGGAGATGCTGAGATCCACGGCCAGGACAAGATGGTGCCTGGGATTTTGCCAGAAGGGGCAGCTCCTGCTGCCTCGGGTGCCTGCTACTTTTAAGTTCTCGTGGAGTTTCCGTTGAGTTCCCGTTGAGTTCTTGCGGAGTTCCCGTGGAGTTGGGGTAGGCTCTGGAATAAAGTTTGTTCCTGCTTGAATCTTCAAGTGGCTTGTGACCTCCCGGTTATTTGTGCCCAGCCAGACTGCGGCACTAGCCAAAGGTGGAAACAACCCAAGTGTCTTCCCACAGATGAATGGATAACAAAATGTGGTCTACCGACACAATGAGATGGTATTCAGTTGTGATAAAAAATGAAGCTCTGGCACCTGCTTTACCATGGGTGAAGCTGGAAACATCTTGGTAAGTGAGAGAAGCCAGTCACAAAAGCACAGCTATCACCTGATCTCATTCATATGAAATTCCCAGAATCAGTGAATCCAGAGATATTCGGCAGACTTGTGGTGCCAGGGGCCAGGGGTCGCTGGGGGTAGATTGGAGGAGGGGTGCCTCTGCTTACTGGTCTGGGCTTTGTGTCTGAGGTAGCAGAGATGGTTGCACAACACTGTGAATGTACAGTGCTCAGTAAGGACTCTGCACCCATGCATTATTTGGTCAGTGGCTGTAGCTTGCCCACCTGTTGTCCATTTCTAGCCTGCCTTGTTAACACAGCCCCCATTCTGTTCCTGGAAGCACTGATTCAAGATAATGCTCAGTTTTCCAGCCCACTTTGCTTCTAGGGATGAGGGGTGACCATAAGAAACCTGGCATATGGATAGATGTTTTTGGTAAAGCATTGCCTTTTGGTTGAAGTGGACAGATATGGCTCTCATGGTCTTGCCCCATCTTCCTGCATAAGAAGGGCCAGGGTTGTGGCTCAGTTGGTAGAGTGCTTGCCTAGCATGTGTGAGGCGTTGGGTCCGATCCTTGGCACCACGTTATAAAAACAAAATAAAGGTGTTGTGTCCATCTACTATAAAAAATTACGAGGAGGAGGAGAAGGAGGAGGAGGAGGAGGAGATGGAGACTAATGTAATGTGTGGAGGAAGAGCAGTCTTTGGTTGCTATGAGGTGATAAATTTGAGGGAATGGCTGCTGAGAGGATCTCCTTGGGGACCCTAGTGGGCCAGGGACCACCCACTTCTCCCAGACGCACTTCTGAGAACAGTTAGCTCTGGGTGCTAGGGCAGTGAGCCAGACAGAGCTAGGCCTTCCTGGAGCCGAGGGGAATAAAATACTGTTCGTTTAAGCTCCCCCACTACTGTATCTTTGGGAGCCAGGATGGAGCCAGGGCCTGGTGCACTTTGGGCCAGCGCTTGACCACTGAGCCACACCGCACCCGAGTCTAGCAGGGCACCAACTCCTATCTACTGCTTAAACTGTCTGAGGGCCTCCAGCCTCAGAGCGGAGACACTCCCGCTGCGTCAGGCTGTCCTGGCCACACTGCTCAGGAGCTCCTGAACCTGGACATGGGCAAGGACTTAGAGCTTGGAGCGCGGCCGGGTCCTGAGCCTCCAGCTCCCTAGGTAGAGGCGGCCTCCTCTGCGGCCCACCTCCAAGCCTTGCTGATTCGCTGGAGGGAGCCCCGCCCACTCCAGCCTGCCAATCGTAGGCTCAAGCTGTTGATTGGTTGGCGCGGCACGTGGCCGGCGGGCCCAGCATGCTCTGCGCGCCTCCTGGGAGCGCCAGGCGCAGAGGGTTCTGGGTGGACGGGCCGTGGAGCTGCGCCCGGCTGCCTGGGCCCAGGCAGGGTGGGCGACTGGCCAGGGACACGCCGGGTGGCGCTGTGAGAAGGCCAGGCCATGGCTGCTCCTGCAGGCGTGGCCCAGCGTGGTCGTGTGGGCCGCGGAGTGGGAGAAGCCGGCGTGGCTGCAGCCGCGGGCCGAGGCGAGGCCGGCGGAGAGGAGCCTGTCCCCGCGCAGTGCTGAGGGGTGAGGTGCCCTCACGGCCGCCCTGCAGACACCCGGGAGGCTCTTGGGTGTCACCGGGGGCGGAGCAGGTGAACACGTGGCCGTCTCTGTCACTGCCAAGGGCGCACCGC